CTGTCTTTAAAAAAGAAAAACAAGTTCTAAAAAACGTACTAAAATAAGGTACTAAGTACATATTAAACATATACTTAACATGTATTTTGCTTTCAACTAAAATGGCATTAAGCTTGAGCAACACAGGGGGACCTCACCTCTACCAAGAAAGAAAAATTCATCTGGGGATGGTGATGTGTGTTTATAGTCCCAGCTACTTGGGAGGCTGAGGTGGGAGGTCGCTCGAGCCTGGGAAGTTGAGATTGCAGTGAACCATGATCATTGTGCCACTGCATTCCAGCCTAGGCGACAGAGTGTGTGACCTTATTTAAAAAAAAAAAAAAAAAAAAGCATTACCTGTACCAGAACCTGATTGTTGTTTTTCAGGCTTTATTTACTTCCCTGTTCATGACCCTTGCCTACGAGGATGGCACTGTGGCCAAGCAGGATTGGGAGGAGCTGGAGGGAGTACAGCTGGTATAAAGGGGTAAATGGAATAAAATGTGAACTTCTTTTTAAGTTTACTGAATTAATGTAAATACAGATATGTGAGAACTTTCCGTGTCTCAAAGCCACCATGGTTGTTTGATATCATTTATATGTATTAACATTTAAAAATATGCATTCTCTGTTTTGGAGATCTAATTTTCACTTTTCCTATTTGGGTGGCTATTTAAAGATGTAGCCAACACAGTTCAAACATACAAAATACTTCAGTTCAGTGGTTTCTTGAATTGCACCTAAAATCCAAAGAAACTTGCTTCTAAAAGTGGCTGGCAATTTTTTTTTTTTTTTTAAACAGAGGACAATTAGCACCATCTAGTGGATATAAATATCTCCTCTTCTTGAATTCGGACCCATGAGGAGGTTAAGAGGGCAGGCTTTGGAACCTAGGTTGGAATCCCAGTGCCAATTAGTTCCCCAATGACCTTGGTCATGTACCTTTAGGAGTTCTGCTTCTCAACTCTAAATTCAGGTAATACTAGTGCCGACTCATAGAATGCTATACATGAAGTGAAATGATGCTTTGAAGGCAAGTCTGAAACACTTGGTAAACGTAATTTTTTGATAACACTACGGAATTCACAGGAAATGGGAACTGTCTGGTGGCACACACTATTACCTGCTCTCCATATAAATGGCTATTCTACACAAAATCCAGTGTGTAGAATTTATGATACAAGGCTTAATGAGATCCCTCTCCTACCATATTGTTACATTTGGTTGAAGTTTATGGTGAGAAAAGGGAAATTGGTGCAAGAAGTCTGAAATGGTAGTTGGTGCCCAGATGGCAAACAATGCTCCTGCTTGCTTTCATTCATTCAAACCTGACTCCACTCAGAAGGATGTCAAGAGGAGGGAGAGAGTGAAAACGAAAACAAAACTAATTCCTAAACCAACACTGCCACTGCCATATGTCACCAACTTGGAATTAGACCAGGGAAATTTTAGCTTAAAACATCTTGACTCTAGAAGAAATTTTTATGAATGACTTTGAAAGGCACACTTTCCAGGATGTGTTTGTGATCTTTGAAAACGGAACTGCAGAAAACACAGTATAGACGTGGTGCTCCGGGACTTATACCCGAATGTTGTTTTGAGGGTGTCACCTGCAAGAGCTGACACAGAAGTATTTGGGGAAATTAAAAACAAACACACAACAAATGCAATTTATTAAAGCTGGTCCTTAAGGCATACACCGTCTCTCCGTGGTTTACAAAATGGAAGCATCAGGAGGTAAATAAACAAGTGAGAGTGACACAGAGACAGAAAATGATTCGAAATGAGATAAACAGTTTTATGCAAAGTATAGTCAATGGGGACTTAGTCTGAAAAGGTTATAGTGAAGAGACATAAAGTTTATATGGAATCTCAATTTTATGTTCACTTGCTTTGTATGCATCTTATGTTGCCTGTATTTTAAAAGCAAAAGTCAAAAAAAATGAAAACACCAGTAATCATGTGCACTAATCATTAGGTCTGTTTTTTCTTAGTTCAGCCCCTTCCCCCAAGAAATTGGGAAGGTATTGTTTTCTTAGTGGACACTATTGATTATCTAATTAAAAATGGGAAAGAATGGCCTTCATTTATGGTGTATGAGAACTGTGCAGGCACTTGGCAATTACCTTGTCTTGCTACTAGACAGTGGTTGGTGGGCCAGGAGCACTGGCATCATCTAGGAGCCTGTTAAGAGTCTCAGGTTGTACCTGATAGTGAATCAGCATTTTTTTTTTGAATCAGCATTTTAAATAAGATCCCTCGGTAATTTGCATATTAAAGTTGAGAAACCCTAGATTCATTTGATCTCAGGTACATCCCTGGTTCAGTATTTCATGAAGTCTCCCCAGGTGATTCTAATGCGCAGTGCAGTTAACAACTGTGAAACTAGTCCAACTTCATTTTCCAAATGTAGAAACTGTGGCCCGCGAAAGCTTATGGTTTACCTAAGATGACCTAGCTGTTTAGTATCAGAATCCAAATAATGTCATCTCTTCTCCTCATAAAAAAATAAACCAGGGTTGAGGGGCCAGAGGTTAGGGAGTGTGAAGATGAGGATAATTATTTTATATAGGGTGTTTGGGAAAGGCCCTCCTGAGGAAGCAGACGCCTGAGGAAAGAAAGGAGCAAACTACATGGATAGCTGGGAAATGGTATTTCAGGCTGGTGTGTGTTGTGTGTGTGTGTGTATTTGGACTGGAGGAACAACAGCAAGTAGCAGTGTTTCCAAATTCCTGACAGACACTGATCTTTGGGATGCAGAAACAGGAAATCAGAATTGCCAGCTGTTCTCAAAATCTTATTCATAAAATATTCCCTACCTTTTTCATTTTCTTTACTCATTATTATGAGTATCTGAAGCCTTTGTTTAAAAAATAAGAACTATTAAATTTAGAAGTGTTTACAAGAACTGGAGTTTATAGCAAATATTTGAATTCTGGGAAACACAGAGAACATTATTGGGTAGTATTCAAATAATGACAGATCTCCTAGCAGGGTTAACTGTACTACTCAGAATCAGGGGTTGGAAGCTTCCAATTTAAGGATTTATTCTGAATCCAAAACACGTTACATTTTTGAACACTGCTCATAGAATTTGTATAAAGTATACAGTGAGTATCAACCTGTTTCTATTTATTTTATTTGCAAGAATAGACTCACTGCCAGCAGCACACAGGGTCAGGAGCATACCCGTACATGGCACCAACTACAAGCAAGACTGACTGATGAGATTGTGGCTATGTCTCTCCCAGGTGCTCCCGTCCTGGTTCCTGAAAATGTTGACCTCATCCTCTAACTAAGCATTTCCTGCAATGGTTTTCAACTTGACATTGGTGAATTTCTTCAGTAACATCTCTAGGTTGGCTGCTAAGTTTTAATTCTCAGAGGATAATTAGGATACTTTCTCCTATTTTCTTCATTTTGCAACTTTTTTCCTTTTGAGATTTGGAAAATCATAGAAGTACTAACAATGAGGACAGTGAGGCTGGAACCAAGTTTACCAGTGGGAAGCAGTAGCTAGGAATGGAGGTCAGAGAGAAAACAGAAGAAAACAGAAAGCCTTATCATTTAGAGATGATGTCAGTATGGACCTGAATGGAAGCAGTGAAGGTGTGATGAGTATTTGGATTCTGGATATATTCTGAATGCTGAGCTGACAGAACTTAACAACAAATTGATTGTAGAGTATGAGAGGAAGAGGAATTGAGGACACCTAAGGTTTCTGGTCCAGGCATGGCAGGATGAAATTACCATTTGTTGAGATGAATAGAGAGTGGGTGGGGGATTCTGGATAAGTTATTTTTTTCTGTGTTAAGTTTGAGATGCTTACACATCTAAGTGGAGGTATCAAATAGGCAGTTAGGTAAAGGAGTATGGAGTTCAGGGAAGTCTGGGCTGGTGATAAGACCCAGGATTCGGCCCGTGGTGGCTCAAGCTCATAATCCCAGCACTTTGGGAGGCCGAGGCGGGCGGAGTTCCAGATCAGCCTGGACAATATGGTGAAACCCTGTCTCTACTAAAAATAATAAAAAAAAATTAGCCAGGCATGGTGGTGTGCACCTGTAATCCCAGCTACTAGGGAGTCTGAGGAAGGAGAATCACTAGAACCTGGGAGGTAGAGGTTGCAGCAGTGAGCAGTGAGCTGAGATTGCATTACTGCACTCCAGCCTGGGTGACAGAGTGAGACTCCATCTCAAGAAAAACACACACACACACACAAAAGATGCAGGATTCAGGAGCATAGGGAGGGCATTTATAGTCAGGTTTTTACCGCCTAGATTTCAGTTGTGTTCTTTCAGCACCTCAACCTGTGACTGTTTGCTTCCCCGAAAAAACACATCTTACCTACTTAAAACGATGAGGACAAAGGGGCCGTGAATGTGAAAATGCCCTGTAAACGGTATTGTGCTGTTCCGGCTGGAAAGCAGCAGAAATCCGAAGGCACTGGAGGTGAGGAAAATCAGTTTGTGGATATAGGGAAATAATTTTCGTGCACTAAGAATTAGAGAAACTATGAAATAAAAGAAGGTGCAAACAGCAATTATAGCTCTTCTTGAACGGTATGTAGTCCAATCTATGCAAAACTAATAAAGTTTCCATAGCACCCCAAATTTACCTAGAACTTCACATACATGGTCTTTTTGAGTTGCACAAATCTTGAGAGAATTATTATTGTTCCCATTTTACAGAGGAGGAAACTGAGCTCGGAGAGGATAGTTGGCCTGTAGGGCAATCACAGCAATGTGAGGGGCAGAGGTAGGTACACAAGCATCCAGACGTCCCAGTTCCGAATCCAACCTAAAGACGAATAAACAGCTCCCCACCCCCACCGTCCTCCGCGAAGACGGAAAGACACAGCCGGGCCCAGCTCGCGTGGCTTCAGCAGCCGCCGGCCCCCGTCCCATTTCCGAATGGTACAGCCCTTTCCCCTATCGCGAGAACGGAAGCGCCGCGCATCTGGTTGCCAGGGAAACAGCGGTCCGGGAGGCAAGAGGGCTTTGGACCTGCGGCTTCTTACACCACCGGAGAGGCTGCGGTGGCGGGGGAGACTCCTTTCCTCTCGGGGAAAGTGGCTGGCGCAGTGAACGTCGGCTGCGCGCTTCCGCGGCAGTCCGCGCCCTGACTGCCGGCGGCCAGTTCCTCCAGGAGACACCCCAGGAAGGTGAGGGGCCGCGCAGGGCGCCGAAGAGTGGGCGGGGCGGAGTTGCGTTGGGCGGCTCGGCCCGTAGATGGCGTGTCATGGGGGAGCGGACAGGGCCAATGAGAGAACGGGGGCGGGCTCAGTGGGGGCGGGGCCCCAGGGGCCTCTGCCTCCGCGGAGGCTGTTTCTCCGGGAGTCTCCTGACATCAGGACCTGTAACCAAAGCTCACACTTTCCCAAGATCTAGAACTGATCACCGGCTGGTGAGCCATTTAAACTAGACCATAAACGGCAAAGGATGCAAATAGGGATTTCACAGGAAAATAAAAATAAAAAGATGTAAACAGTAAACATTTGACTAGGGACTCAGCTTTTCTCGTGAAGAAGTGTAAACCAAATTCAGAGATACCTTTTACACCTAACAGACTGGAGAAGATGAAACAACTTTGACATAACCAGACGGGCCCCAGGCCAGTGTGGCGGTGGTAGTGTAGTTTGGTACAGACTTTTTGGAGTACAGTTTGGCGAACTACCAAAATTTGAAACACAGGTGTTCTTTGACTCAGCAATTCTAGTTTATTTTATGGATGTATGAGGATAACTAAAGAAAGATTGGCACAAAGATATTAACTTAAAATTGGGGTATAAGTTACTTATGGTAAGCTTCACCCATTTAATCTACAATTCTATGAATTTGACAAATGCGTGCAGCTTTGTAATTACCAACCACCAGAATCAGAATACGGAAGTTTCATCATGCCCCCCAAATCCCCTAGTGCTTTGTAGTTAACCCCTCCCCAACCCCATCCCTTACAACAACTTCCTAGTTTTTTGTTCATGTAATTTTGCCTATTCCAGAATGTCATATTGATGGAAGAAAACACCATGTGTCCTTTTGAATTGGGCTTCTTTCAGCTTAGCATCATGCAGTTGCTACTCATTCGTGTTCTGTGTATCAGTTTTTTGTTCCTTTATATTGCTGAGTGACAGTCCATTGTATGGATGTAGCATAGTATATTTATCCATTCCCTACCTGAGGCACATTCGGATGAGTTCTTTCCAGTTTTTGGCTATTAATGAAGCTGCTATAAATATTCATGTACAGGTTTTCTTTGTGTGTGTGTTTGAATATGTTTTCATTTCATAGATATGTAAATTTCTATGAAATTTCATTTCATAGATATATAAATATTTATGAATGAGATTGTGGAGTCATATGGTAAGTGTATGTTTAACTTTATAAGAAACTGCCAAGCTGTTTTGAAAAGTGAACATTTTGCATTGTCACTGGCAACGTTACAGTTGCTCTCCAACTTTGTCAGCACTTAGTATTGTCAGTTTTTTTAAAAAACACTTTTGTTGTTTGAATAGGTGCGTAGTGGTATCTCATTGTGGTTTTAATTTATTTTTTTGAGGAGTAATGATGTTGAACATCTTTTCATGTGCTCTTTTGCCATTTGTACATCATCTTGGGTTATGTGTGTGTTTAAATATCTTGTTTTCTTGTTATTGAGTCTTAATATTTCTTTATATATTCTGAATATGAGTCCTTTGTCAGATACGTGTTTTGCAAATATTTGCTTCCAGTCTTTGGATTTTGTTTTCCTTGTCTTAATATCATTTGAGGAGTGCAAGTTTTAAATTTTGATGCCTTCCAATTTATCAGTATCTTCTTCTATGAATCATGCCTCTGATGTCGTATGTAAGACATTTTTGCCTAACCCACAGTCACAGGTAATTTTTTTTTTTTTTTTTTTTGAGATGAGTCTTGCTCTGTCACTGAGGCTGGAGTGCAGTGGCTTGATCTCAGCTCACTGCAACCTCTGCCTCCCAGGTTCATGCAATTCTCCTGTCTCAGCCTCCTGAGTAGCTGGGACTACAGGTGCTCACTACCACGCCTGGCTAATTTTTTGTATTTTTAGTAGAGATGGGGTTTCACCGTGTTAGCCAGGATGGTCTTGATCTCCTGACCTTGTGATCCGCCCACCTCTGCCTTCCAGAGTGCTGGGATTAGAGGCGTGAGCCACCGTGCCTGGCACAGTCACATGTATTTCTTAGAAAATTTACAGTTTTGGCCCGGCACGGTTGCTCACCACTGTAATTTCTGCACTGTGAGAGGCCAAAGAAAGCAGACCGCTAGAGGTCAGCAGTTCAAGACCAGCCTAACCAACATGATGAAACCCTGTCTTTACTACAAATACAGTAAAAACAATGACAAAAAGGAAATTTTATAGTTTTAAGGTTTACTTTAGGTCTATGATACATTTAGAGAAAGTTTTAAAATTGATTTTAATGTTAAATATTATATATGCAACCTAAGTGAGCTGATTTAAAAATTGCTACATCTCTGGGATATTATGCTGTTGATTGAGAGCATGAAGTATATCTATAAATGGTGATATAGAAAAATATATAAAATAGCTTGTTAACTGTGAAAAAGCAAGTTGCAAAGCACCATGCCATTTGTGTGTGTGTTTGTGTTGGGGAGGAGTTGATGGGTTTAAAGAATAGAAGGTTTGCATGTGCCTAAAAAAATGAGACCTGCAACTCTCTATTAACACTGATTTTGGGGTATGCAGAATTTTGACTTAAAACACTTTTATATTCACCTGTATTATTTGATTTTTTTTCTGCATGGGCAAGTATTCCTTACATAATACATAAATATATAAAGTAAAAAATTGACCATACTTAAATAATTTTTAGATATAAAAATCATGGAAATAAATTAGTCCCACTCTTTAAAGGCTTGTTACTTATAATTACTAAATGGAGAAGGATTCATTTTCTTTTATTTTGTTAATCTCAAAATACCAAATTATAGCAGCCATATGTCCCCATCTTGGCTTTAAATCATCTTTGATGATTTCATTTCTCACAAGCCTGTATGAAAAAGTTTAAATTAATCTTGTTTGAAATAAATGTTATAAAAAGTTGTCATTTGTTAAAATTTAGGATCTGGTCCTATAGCTAATCTATCTATTTAATCAAGTATCATGAAGTAAATACGATTCTATTTTGAAGTGTTTTAATGTCATAAGAAAATGCTCATTATTTAGTGGTGAGAAATACATGAGTCCAATTTTATTGAAAAATACACAGAACAAAAATGGTAAAGAAATGTACTAATAGCGTTTAGCTCAGGGTGATGGGATGTTGGGTGATTTTTATTTTTTTTCAAATACTTTTTAGTAAATTCTAGAGATTTCTATAATAAATGAATTCTTTAGTTATGAATACAAGATATACTTAACAGAAGAACAGAAAATACAGGTAAGCAAGGGGGCAGGAACATCCAGGAACCCACCAATCCAGACCCCACTACTCTTGCTTCCTTGATGTGTCATCATCTTTCAGGTCCCTTTGTGTATATTTCTTGAATTAGAAAAATTGGACTTTTTAAAGCCGAATTGTTGACAATTTGTATGTCTTTCTTTTTTTTTTCTGATTGTGCATTTCTTTTTTATATCTTTACCCAGTTTTCTATTAGAATGGTTTTTTTTTTCCTTACTGATTGGTAAGAGCTCTATAAATATGTAAATAAATTAACCTTTTGTGTATCACCTGTGTTGCATTTATTTTCCCCAATTTCTCAGATCCTTTTAATTTCACTTAGAGTTCTTTTTCATGTTTGAGACTCAAGAGGATTAACTGTTATGTAGCCACATCTGTTAGTCTTTTCCTTTTTGATTTATGCTCTTAGTATCATGCTAAGTTACTAATTCCATAATTATGAAATTTATGTTTATGTTTGTTTATAAATTTGTCTTTATGTTCCTTTCAGTCCCTTGGAGATTTCATATTTTTATTTATTACTTATAAAATTAGTTTTTACTCTCATAAAAGTATTATGTTTATTGTTTGGCTTTATCAATTTCTGGGCAGTTCTTTGATTTCCTATTATAACAGATTAGATTTCTGATACTAATCCCTTTTGTGCACTCCTCCTCTCATGTACACTCAGTATAATTAAGGCATAATATTTGGCTAAATCAACATTCAATGCTTATGTAATCATAACTATTTACATATTGTTTGATTGCTTTTTTTGTACAATACTTTATTTTTCTTGTAGAATTTCTATGTGGCAATTGCAATTTCTTCCCAAATGCTTAAATCCATCTATAATATCCAATTCAAATACCCTTTATCCATACCTTTTTCTAGATGGCCAAATTCATAAGATAGTCTCTTATTGCATCCCACATACCTCAGGAACTGCATTTTATTTAATTTATTATTTTTAGGAGTGAACCAAATGGAACAGACCTATTTCTAAGGCAGAATGAAAGATTTGTGGCACCCTTTAGCTGATCCAGGTCATTGCCGGTTCCCTGTGCCTCTGCCTTTATTGACATGTATTATGCGGCTCTGCGCATGCTTCCATCTCATTGCTCCCTCTGTAATCTGCAATAAGTCTCCCTTGACAGGCTGTTTTGGGCATTTACAATACATTTGGCCTTTTGGTGACTTATGCTTTTTGGTTGTGATGTGAGGGGCCAGGGTGATCCATCATCCCACAATAATAATGTCAGTGCTTTCCTAAGTGAGCCCAGACCCTCTTTTGCAGAGTTTGAATAATGTTGACATCAATGCTTTTTTCATTTGCTGAGATGGGAAGAGCTGACCTCCTGGTCTTCTAAACATAAGCTTTGTCAAATTGAATGGTTGGAAGCCAAGCCGTAACATCTCTCTGTGTACCTAGGTGAAGCCTCAGGTTGTTTATATTTGTGCTTTCTCCTATGTCTACAGCTTCTCTGGACTCCACCTCTGCTGTTCAAAAAGTAAAAGAAAGATGAGTCATTCTGTAGGGTAAGTAAAGGACATTGTTAGGTAGAGGCAATTGTCTTTTTCATATTGTTATGAGAGAAATGGTTGAATGTATAATTGATAGGAATTTAGGAAAGGATTTGTTGGAAGACACCCATTGACCATGTAAAGCTGAGTATGAGAGGGCAAAAGCTAGAATTATCCCTCTTTCTTCCATTTGATTCAGCATGCGTGTTGCCCCAATGTCACGAGACAGATCTGGAATGGTGTTGGTCAGCCACACAGTTGGGAAGGATCAATGTGCCTGTATCGCCCACTATGAATCTTTAGCTTTTGCTACCCTGCCAGGGTGGTGAGAGGCCTGTGGATAGTATCACATGAGAAATAGTAAAATAGATTGGTAATGTGGAGCCAGATGAGAATCTGTCCTCCAATAAAGGAAGTTGATTTTGTTCTCTTGCCTCAGAGGGCAGAAATAGAATTACCGGGTTTTGAAGGAGGGGGTTGATAAAATGAGAGCAGTGCCCTGGAGATAGGTACTCCATGAAAATGCAGCACCAAGGGGAGAGAAGAAATTAGAGCTGAGAGGGAAGAAGGAGGAACTAGAATGGGCAAGGCTAGAAAAAAGAAGGCAAACAAAAGAAAATAGCAGGGGGACTTTGGGAAGCCGAGGTAGGTGAATCACCTGAGGTCAGGAGTTTGATACCAACCTGACCAACATGGCAAAACCCTGTCTCTACTACAAAAAAAAAAAACAAACAGCCAGTGTGATGGTGGGTGCCTGTAATCCTAGCTAGCTGCTTGGGAGGCAGAGGCAGGGAAAATCGCTTGAATCTGGGAGGCAAAGGTTGCAGTGAGCCGAGATTGTGCCACTGCACCCCAGCCTGGGTGACAGAGTGAGACTCCATTTCAAAAAAGAAAAGAAAGAAGGTAGCAGGAGGGCCTTAGGAAACCGTTAAGATGAAGTGGATCTTGCTTGAGAGACAGGGGTGTCCCTGACCAGGGACACAGTAAATGTTTTTCCTAGCGGCACAGGAAGCAACCAAGATGGCATTTACTTCTGTGTTCTCTTTTAGCCACACTCAGTATCTAACATTCTGGGCAGTATATTTTCTGTATACTGTGGCATAAGGTTTAATAATCCATGTATACAAGATGTCTTTTGGTGAAACTGGGGAACTCTTAAGTGTAACTTCAATAGCAACATAATCTTTAAAACAAAGCCTCTTAATAATTGGATATTAACACTAACTAATGAAAAATTTAAATATCCAAGTCACTTGGTATTAAATTTTTTATTTGTTGATGCAGGATTTCAATGGACATTATAAAGGGAAACCTACATGGAATTTCAAAACCAGCCTCAAATTCAAGAACACTCCCTGGGAGCAGAAGTTCAAATGCTTCTTTGGAGGTGCTCTCACCAGAACCAGGATCTTTCAAGGTAATTAACTATTTAGAAATGATTTGTACTCCTTCCCCCAGCCTCTCAGCAGCTGATGAAACTAAGGTTGTTGTTAACAGCCCATTTTAAATTTTCTCCTTAGATCGTATATTCAGAGAGCACTTGCAGATTTCTTGGGTTTTAATCTAGATTAATATCACAAAACTCTACTCCCTTTCTTTCTTCCCTCTCCATTTCTCTCCTCCTCCCCCCATCCCTCCCTCCCTCCTTCCGTTTTTCCATTTTTGTTCCCCGAGTGTGGTTTATTTCCCTACATTGTACTTCGTTAAAACTTGAATGTCGACTCTTTTTTCTTTATAAAGAGGTTTTTTATTCCAACATCTAATATGCCACCATTGACTTTTACTAAATAGGCTTACTCAAAAAGATTCAGTATTGGCCGGGCGCGGTGGCTCATGCCTGTAATCCCAGCGCTTTGGGAGGCCGAGGCGGGTGGATCACAAGGTCAAGAGATCGAGACAATCCTGGTCAACAAGGTGAAACCCCGTCTCTACTGAAAATACAAAAAATCAGCTGGGCATGGTGGTGCGTGCCTGTAATCCCAGCTGCTCAGGAGGCTGAGGCAGGAGAATTGCCTGAACCCAGGAGGCAGAGGTTGTGGTGAGCCGAGATCGCACCATTGCACTCCAGCCTGGGTAACAAGAGCGAAACTCCGTCTCAAAAAAAAAAAAGATTCAGTATTTAAAAAAATGGTTCGGTAAAGGCCATGTGATATATATTTGGTAGGTTTATTGTATTAGTCCTTTCTCACATTGCTATGAAAGAACTACCTGAGTGAGACTGGGTAATTTATAAAGAAAGGAGGTTTGCATGGTTCCACAGGCTGTACAGGAAACTTACAATCATGGAGGAAGGTGAAGGGGAAGCTGGCACATCCTACCTGGCTGGAGCAGGAGAGAGAGAGTGAGGGGGACGTGCTACACACTTTCAAACAACCAAATTTCGTGAGAACACTATCACAGGAACAGCAATGATTCAGTCACCTACCACCAGGCCCCTCCTCCAACACTGGGAATTACAAATCAACATGAGATTTGGATGGGGACCAGAGCCAAACCGTATCAGATATTGTCTAGCTGTGACCTTATTTTTATTTTTTTCTTTAGAAGTCCCCCCTTTTTTTCCCTTAAATGATCTAGAGTTGATTTTTTAATTTTTTATTTTTGAGAGATGGTGTCTCGCTATGTTGCCCACTTCACAGGCGCGATCCCACTACTCATCAGCACGGGAGTTCTGACCTGCTCCATTTCTGACCTGGGCCGGTTCATCCCTCCTTAGGCAACCTGATAGTTCCCGGCTCCTGGGAGGTCACCATATTGATGCCAGACTTAGTGCGGACACCCTGATTGGCATAGCACATACAGCCCAGAATTCCTGGGCTCAAGCAGTCTTGCCCCCTCAGCCTCCCGAGTAGCTGGGACTACAGGCATGTGCCACCACTGCCCGTGATTTTTTTTTTAAGGCATTAGTTTTTTCATTAATTTCTTTTAAGGTTTTAGGAAATGAATAATTTGAACATTATGCTGAAAAAATTTTTTCAAGTTAATGGCTTCATACTCATTTTCTTTTTATTTTAGACTAGACTCTGCATTATGAAACTCTTAGAGTTCTGTCTGTCATGATGTGATTCAGGAATAGCACTCTAAATATTTCAATCAGAAAAAGATTGAATACAAGAGTTAAAGTCTGGGCAACATTGTAAGACCATAACTCTACAAAAAATTTTAAAAATTAGCAGGACATGGTGGCACATGCTTGTAGTCCCAGCTACTTGAGAGACTGAGGCAGGGGGATAGCTTGATCTCAGGAGTTTAAGGCTGCAGTGAGCTATGATTGTGTCACTGCACTGTAGCCTGGGTGACAGAGCGAGGCTGTGTCCCCCTTCCGCCTCCCCTACTGCAAAAAAGAGTTTAGTTCTTCAAAATCAACAGAAGACCAGCAGGAAAGGGAGTTCAGAGAAGGGGCTTTCTCTGGATTATGGGTTCTCAGGTCATAGCACCATAGCTGTAATCCAGAGTTCAGAAAGTTGCTGCTGCTGCTTCTGCTACTGCCACAAGTCTCTAAGAACCACAAAGCTGGTGACTAGACATGCAGAGATGGCTGCCTTTGATATTTTCTGCCAACTTCCTATCAGGAACTTAGAAAGATGCTTCTACCTAAAATCTGCTTTCTAAATCTTGTACAGGTTAACTTGCTTTTAGCCAAAAGGCTGAGAAGCGATGTGCAGGTTCATCTAAACTTTTAAGTACAGACAAGGATCTCACTATGTTGCCCAGGCTGCAAATTTTAGAGTATCATAGAATTAGTATTCCTGCTTATCTTTTTCTGGGTGACAGTTTTTTAAGCAGCAACTTCATGATATTGATACTTATACATGTTTTAATACACAGGTTAATATTACTTCATTCAAAACTTATTGTGATCATGTAAAATCAGATTTTATTGTAACCTGCTAAACTACAGGTTATTAGAATATTTATTAGTGAATATGGACTTCAACACTTTTATTGAAAGGAAAGGTTTCAAAATTGTGGTTTGTGTTAATCAAGTTCATAGATAATTAGTAAGGTTCACCTTAGGCTGGGTAAGAAACAAATATATTGTATGCTGACTGCTGATTGCAAATTATTCAGCTTCTAGAAAACCTTACATATTATTTGACTAATAAATCTTAGTGTGTTGGTTAGTTTTATTGCTCAGATTTGTGTTTTATTAAATTTTTACCAAAGATTTTTTTTCACAGCAGAAAATGAGCTTAACATATTAGCATTTTAGTGACATGTATTTAGTGATAATATATTTCTCATTCTAAAAAGTTTAGCTTTTTGTTGCTTATGAATTTTTTTTAAAAGAGCATTGTAATAGTTGTATTTTGTATAAAAACCCCATGGGTTTCAAGTAGGAATCTAAATATTAGGAAGGGTTTTCATGAGATACTTGCATTTCCTGGGATGAAGATGAAGGGATGGAGTGGGGGATGTGGAGCCATGAAAAATGCAGGTGGGGCTGCGCATGGTGTCTCATGCCTATAACCCTAGCACTGTGGGAGGCTGAGGCAGGCAGATAACCCAAGGTCAGGAGTTTGAGATCAGCTTGGCCAACGTGGTGAAACCCCATTTCTATTAAAAAAATACAAAAATTAGCTGGGTATGGTGGTGCACCCCTGTGGTACCAGCTAGTCGGGGAGGCTGGGATGGGAGGACTGCTTTAGTCCAGGAGGATGAGGCAACAGTGAGCTGTGATCATGCCACTGCACTCCAGCCTTGGCGACAAAGTGAGACCCTGTTAATTATATATATATATATATATGTATGGAGGTGAGATGCGGTGTTAAGAATGAGGAAAAGAGAAAAATCATACACATAGGCCACAGGGCAGAAGAGCAAGGGGTTAGGAACAGAGAGGCCAGTGGGCAGTGGGATGGGGAGGATAGTTGGTAGCTAGAGGGGTGGGAAAGTAGGGGAAAATCTGTGAAATTTGCCTAGTTCTCCGGTTTTGCCTTTGTGCCTCATTACCTTCTGCTCTTTCTTGAGTTAGGATCATATGAGATGATGGGTGTGAAAGGTCTTGGGGTACCCTGAAGTACACTATCCATCTAGTTATCTTTTGTATATTATTTATTCCCCCATGTGAAACTCAGCCTCAAAGGAAGGTCTGCTAAGTTCATTTATACTAATATAAGGCAGCCATCTCTGCATTTATACTAATATAAATGACAGACAGAAGTTGTGTGATTTCTCCCAGAAATGTTAGCTTTGTCACACGACAGAAGTCCTTAAGGATTAAGTGGATATTGTGGAATTCCAGGGTTTTTTTTTTATACTTTAAGTTCTGGGGTACATGTGCAGAATGTGCAGCTTTGTTACATAGGTATACATGCGCCATGGTGGTTTGCTGCATCCATCACCCCATCATCTACATTAGGCATTTCTGCTAATGCTATCCCTCTCCTATCCTCCACCCCCTGGTATCCCTCCCCTAGTCCCCCAGCCCCTGACAGGCCCTGGTGTGTGATGTTCCCCTCCCTGTGTCCATGTATCTCATTGCTCAACACACACTTATGAGTGAGAACATGCAGTGTTTGATTTTCTGATATTGTGTCAGTTTGCTGAGAATGGTTTCCAGCTTTATCCATGTCCCTGCAAAGAACATGAACTCATCCTTTTTTATGGCTGCCTAGTATTCCGTGGTGTATATGTGCCACATTTTCTTTATCCAATCTATCATTGATGGGCATTTGGGTTGATTCCAGGCCTTTGTTATTGTGAACAGTGCAGCAATAAACATATGTGTGCATGTGTGTTTATAAGAGAATGATTTATAATCCTTTGGGTATATACCCAGTAATGGGATTGCTGGGTCAAATGGTATTTCTATTTCTAGATCCTTAAAGAATCACCACATTGTCTTCCATAATGGTTGAAGTAATTTACACTCCCACCAACAGTGTAAAAACGTTCCTATTTCTCCACATCCTCTCCAGCATCTGATGTCTCCTGATTTTTTAATGATTGACATTCTAACTGGTATGAGATGGTATCTCAGTATGACTTTGATTTGCATTTCTCTAATGACCAGTGATGATCTTTTTTTCATATGTTTCTTGGCCACATAAATTTCTTTTTTTGAGAAGTGACTGTTCATATCCTTTGCCCACTTTTTGATATGGTTGTTTGTTTTTTTCTTGTAAATTTAAGTTCTTTGTAGATTCTGGATATTAGTCCTTTGTCAGATGAATAGATTGCAAAATTTTTTTTCTCATTCTCTTGGTTGGCAGTTCACTCTAATGATAGTTTCTTGTCTTGTGCAGAAGCTCTTTAGTTTAATTAGATCCAATTTGTCTATTTTTGCTTTTGTTGCCATTGCTTTTGGTGTTTCAGTCATGAAGTCCTTGCCCATTCCTATGTCCTGAATGGTTTTGCCTAGGTTTTCTTCTAGGGTTTTTATGGTATTAGGTCTTATGTTTAAATCTTTACTCTATCTGGAGTTAATTTTTGTATAAGGTATAAGGAAGGGATCTAGTTTCAATTTTCTTCATATGGCTAGCCAATTTTCCCAACACCATTTATTAAATAGGGGATCCTTTCCCCATTGCTTGTTTTTGTCAGGTTTGTCAAAGATCAGATGGTTGTAGATGTGTGGTGTTATTTCTGAGGCCTCTGTTCTGTTCCGTGGTCTGTCTCTGTTTTGGTCCAGTACCATGCTGTTCAGAATGCCAGAGTGAATTCCAGGCTTTTTCTGGCCTTTGGCAGAAATATGTTTTTGAACAGGGAATGCTGTTTAACCACCTCCCAGATTACAACACTATTTTGCTTATTTATAAATTGGGCTTTCACTAGTTTCATTCTCTGCTGGGTCTGTTTTCTTCTCTGTTAATTCATAGTAGTGAAACTTAAACCATAGGAACATTGTGAGGAGTGAATGAGGCAGGCCATGACCGATAGTAATTCTTCAGTAAATAGTGGCTGTGATTGTTACCACTGAGTCCGCTCAATTCTGCTGGGTTTATGTCCTGGCTTAGGCAGGGAGATGCTCATGCAGACCTGCATTCCCGGCAGTTTCATTCACCGCCTGTCTTCCGCCCTGGAGATTCACCGGGGGGGACTGAAGATTGTGGTGGAGAGTGGAGCATGTGGTGCAGAGAGAACACAAGATCTACAGAGGGCTGAGACCAGATGGGCTGGAGGAGACAGTCTCTCTCTTGGGAGGGGAAAGATACTCCTATGAGAAGGGGCTGACTCTCTGAGGTCTTGCCTCTCTCCCTTGGGCAGTGTTAACTTCTGAAGTGAATCTCATCACAGTTTACAAACCCAGGGCCTGTGATCTGTTTTTCCCTCACCTGGCCATGGAGGTCCTTTTTTATTCTCTCTTAGGAAAACACAGCTGTGTCAACTGGTGTTTTCAAAATGAACTTTGCTAAAATGTAAAGGGAAACTAAAATGAAATAGAAAAACTGTGAATAACATAAAAATAAATGAATGACCAAAGCACAGGATTCTGAATAGGAGACTCTCAGTAGAAATCACATCTTAACTCTGACTAGCCACTTTTCAACCACTCTGTAGCCACATGTGGCAAGTGCCTGTCATATTGGACAGCACAGCCTTAGACCTTTTTCTGTCCATCCCAGTGTAAGCTCAAGGAGCAGGGCCCTTCTTGCCTTATCCCAGAGCCTGGCAGATAGCAGGTCCCTGCAGGACTGATGTAGACTCTTCTCCATTATTGCTGGAGAATGGTGCAAATGTTACTACATGGAATTGTGTAGTTAAATAACATTTAGTTACAGTGGTATATTTCTAGAATACTTTAATGCTAGTGTATATATTTATGTACATTCTCCATCTGCTTTCTATTAGTGTCAAAATATGTTAGAAACGTAATGTTTAAAAAGCAGAATTTTTGGAAACCTTTTTCGGAAATTATTTTTAGGTTGATACTGTAAGCAGCTTGAACTCTGGTAAAGAGAACCACTCCGAAAGCAGTAGTACAGAGAACAGAAGAACTAGTGATGATGATAAGGGGGAAAACCACTCTGAGAAAGTAAAATTGGCCGAAGAGGAATTAGATGAAGATCTTGATTTGGTTCAACATCAGATAATCCCTGAGTGTTCAGGTAGGATAATCACTAGGTGACTGGCTCATGATAATTACAAATGTTAATGATAATTACAAATGTTATATTTAAGGTGTTAGCATTACCTGTGTTTTTACCAGCTAAGTAGAAATAATAAACCAAAAAAAGACATATACTATTTGTGAGCAGGCCATCACCACTTTTTATTTATAAGAATATTAAGAGGCCTTAAATATCATATATTATATTAGAAATATTATAAAATATGTCATTTAATAAAATAGTTGTTGTGGTTATACATTAATCAAGTAGGGATTAGTTCTGCATTTCATAGCATGATTTATTATTTTTTTAAATGACTAAAATTGTACAATAAAATATATCCTATAATTTGTAGGGACAGTCCCACCCAATAACATTTGGACTGTAAAGGATGCCATTTTTTTATGTTGGCAAATTAATTGTAGTCAGATTGCATTAGGATAGTACTTCTCAAAAAGTAGTCTGCAGAGCCTTGGGGGATATGGTGGGAAATGGTATCCCTAAGACCCTTGCAGGGACTCTACAAGGTAAAAGCTGTTTTCATAGTAACACTGAGGTGCTATTTGCCTTTGTGTCCACCATACTGACATTTGCCTGATGGTATAAAAGTAATGTAGGGAAAAATTGCTGGTGCCTTAGCATGAATCAGTACAATGGCACCGAAATGTACTAGTGGTCCTTGTGTTCTTTGCAACCAGGCACTGGCTGCAAAAAGAAATAGCCAGTGTCAGTGGCTATAAATCAATAAAAAAAAACAATTTTATTAAATTTTGACCCTTAAATATGCATCTTCTGAACATCCTGTGGGACAAAATGGGAAGCATAAATAAAGCAATTCTGCTGTATGCCAAAATTTGTGCTAAAAAAAAGTGCTTTTGTGATAGTTGGAGTTGAGAGCTGAACTGGCCACTTTTTTAGTGGAACACCATATTTACTTGAAAGAATGACTGACAAAAAAACAATGATTCAGATGGGTATTTGGTAGACTTCTTTATAAGAAAATAAACATGTTATTTTGAGGATAACTACTGATGGTATTTGTTTCCAATGGTAAAATGTGAGCTTTCGAGTGAATATTAGTTTGGGCAAACTGCGTATGTCACTGTGAGCTTGATAGCTTCCCAATACTTAGACTTTTCTTAGAAAAAATGGGTGGCAATGTTAACTAACACCATTGTGTAAAGAAATGTCTGCATTTTGAAGCTCTGCATAATTTAGGTAACCACTATTTTCCAAATGATCAATGTAGGATAAAAGATCCATTCAACATGAAATACAGACCCATGGATTTTAATGGAGCAAATACATAAAGCTCAGTGATTGGTTGCAGATTTCACTTAACAGCCTGTAAGAAACTACCTGTTAAGTTTTGGTTTAGTATCAAAGAAGACTGTCCAATTATCTGGATAGGCTATTAAGTTTCTTCTTCCTATTCTAACCACATATCTGTGTGAGGCCAATTTTGTGCATTTACTTCAACCAAAACAACAGACTGCAATAGAATGACTGTAGAAGTAGATACGAGAATCCAGCTGTCTTCCCTTCATCCAGTATTACAAATTTAGACAATACCACTCTTTCACAAGTTTTTTTGAGAATATAGTTATTTGTCGAAAAATGTGATATTTATGTTAACATAATTAGTAACAGCGTGTTTTTTATTTTTTGAAAGTGAATTAATATTTACAATACTTTCCAGTGTTGATTTCTAATATGTTCATTATCAATTCCTATAACCCACGTAAGAAAAGTTACTATGGGTTCTCAATAATTTTTAAGGCTGTAAAGGGGAGCTGAGAAAAAGTTTGAGGGCTGTGATTTAGAGTATGTTTGGTATGAGATCAGCTCTCACTGTTAGGTCAAGTGACTCAGGATTATGGTTATCAGGAAACAAGGCGAAACGGGAGAGTTCCCTTATCCCCTTTAGTAGGACGCGAGACAGAGGTGTGGCTCACTTCTTCATTGCCCCTCTGCTAGGCCACGGGGATTGCTTTTGGGCTCTGACCCCACGACACATCTAGGGGTGAATGTTTACAACTCCCGAAGCCCAGGTGGGCGTATGTTACAGTGAGCTCTTTCAGTTTTGCTGTCTGTCGGCAGCTTGTGTTGATCAGCTCAATTAGACCCTCTGTCTTATCACAAGGGCAGAGGGCTTTCTGTATCCTAGGTTCTTACCCTGGTCTACTGGAAAAATCAAATCACATGTTGGCTTGGAGGATGAATGCAAGGTTTTATTGAGTGGTGGAGGTAGCTCTCAGAGAGATGGATGGGAAGCTGGAAGCAGGATGGAGTGGGAAGGTGGTCTTCCCCTGGAGTCAGGCTGCTCAGTGACTGAAATCTCCTCCAGCTGCCTCTGGCTGAACTTCCCTTGGGATCTGCATCATTCAGCCTTCACTGGTTTGCCGGTGTCTGCAGGCATGTGCCTTTGCTCCTCTCAACATCCAGCCACTTGTGTCATGTATGCTTAAGGTCTCCACTTTATATAGGCACAGGATGGGGGAATGGTGTGCCACAGTGGTCTTGGAGAATGCAACATTTGGGCTTGAAAATAGGAGTGCCTGTTTTCATTTAGGTCTGTGGGCACAGGCCCAAGGGTTGAACCCTCACCAGGGACACTACCTTTCTCTAACCAGCATTTCCCTGTCCCCTTCCCATATCAAATATATTATAAATGAGATTAGCTGTTGACACAATTTATATTGCATTTGTTTCTATTGCTTTAGTACTGTATGAGTTACTTCAAAATGCCTCCTATATAGACTACCTCTGTTCACAGAGCCTGAGAATGCTAGGATTGGCAGTTGGGAATGATAACTAGAAGATGTTGCTTTTGAAGTACATACACAATAAAATTCAAGGAACCTCATTAATAATATCAGTATTCTTTTTGGATAAGTTGATGCCCTCTTTCTGTTTTTCCTTTAAGAGGAAATGATGGAGCTGGGGGTAGTAGTTCATACCTGTAATCCCAGCATTTGGGAGGCCCAGGCATGAGTATCACCTGAGCCCAAAAGTTTAAAACCAGCCTGGGAAGCATAGTGAGACTCCATCTCTACAAATTTTTTTTTTTGATTAGCCAGGTATGGTGGCATGTGTCTCTAGTCCTGGCCCTGGCTATTCTGGGGCTGATGCAGGAGGATTGTGTGAACCCAGGAGTTTGAGGTTGCAGTCAGCTCTGATCACGCCACTACATTTCAACCTGAGTGACAGAATGAGATCTTGTCTCTTAAAAAAAAAAAAAAAAAAAAGAAGTGATATACATTGACTGATGAACATCACTGAACTCTTTGGGTTTTCAAAAGTTTCTAAATTTGGCCTTACTTAGCACAATATGCCACTTCTAATGATCTAACCTGGGGTGGCTGAGGCTTATAAGCTATTTGAGCATTCCTGCTCATTGCTGGATCATCGGTTTTCATCAGATTTAAACAGAGATTATCATCTGTGGCTAAGAGGCTGAGAGCTTTGGCTCTGCAGTCAAACAGATTTGGGTGGAACCTGACTGCCATTAACCAGTTATATCACCTGGGACATGCGTGTAACGCAGTTACAAATTAGCTTCAGTTTACCAATTTGTAAAATTGATTATACCACCTTAGAGGGTTAATGAGTTAATATGAGCATTAGATGATATAATGCATTTAAATAAAATCTTTAAAACTGTGCCTGTCAGGTAACTCTATAAATGTTAGTTATTGTCATTAATTATAAGTTAACGACAGAAGTTTTAGAGTCCTTAATTTTAAATAAGTTACTATCAGCTACAATTCAAGACCTTTTTAAAGAAATTGGAGCAGAGGAAGCAGTATAGAAAAAGGCTCTCTAGCTACATGGAGTACTTGTTTCAGTTTGTTCTATATGTTGCAGGACACTTTGTGTCACTGAAGACATGGCCTTTTACTGTAGCCGTTTTTGTACCTGCCTTCTCTTTCAGTTAGTCTGAAGCAGCCTTAGGACAGGATTTCTGTCTTACTCCTTATTTCCTATTTCTTTGTCATTAGTATAGAAAGTATAACAGAACAAAGGAGAAAGACTTTGCGATTTAAAAATCGTAAGAATCACTTCTGAGTCCAGTGCTATAATTTATTACCTATTTGTAAGGACCCAGTTGTCTCAACTGTAAAGTGGAGATAAAGGTCTATTTCATAGAGTTCTTAGATAATTATATAAGTCCATGTGAAAGCACCTTGTAAATCGAGATACATGGTAGCAACATAGTAGTTATTACTATCAGCTATAAATACTTGTTGAATAAAAGAACAAATTGTAAGAACAAAACAAAACTTTATAGTTTTACTATACTTCAAACCTATTTTTACTTTCAACACAATATAGATGAACCCAAATTAAGAGAATTAGATTCTCAACTTCAAGATGCCATTCAGAAAATGAAGAGACTTGATAAAATATTGGCAAAGAGACAACACAGAGAAAAAGAAATTAAGAAGCAAGGTCTAGAAATGAGAATAAAGCTGTGGGAAGAACTCAAGGTAAGAACTGTCTAAACTTATGCTGACATGTAAGAAACTGTTTCTCCTGGCTGGGCATGGTAGCTCACCCCTGTAATCCCAGCACTTAGGGAGATCGAGGCAGAAGGATTGCTTGAGGCCAGGAGTTTGAGACCAGCCTGGGCAACATAAAGAGATCCCATCTGTACAAAAAAATTTAGAAAATTAGCCAGGCATGGTAGTGCATGCTTGTCCTCCTAGCTACTCGAGAGGCTGAGGTCGGTGGATCCCTTGAGCCCAGGAGTTCAAGGCTGTGCAGTGAGCTATGAGCACATCACTGCACTCTAGCCTGGCTGACAGAGCGAGGCCCTCAAAAAATAAGAAAAAGAATTTCTTCTAAGATGGGTAAGAAAATCATGGACCATGGTAGTGGAGGTAGTGGCATTGGTATGTGTGTGTGTATGTGAAGGAGTTGCAGGGGTGATATTTTTCTGGAACCTGAGAAGAAAACGTGGTCTGCAGCATCCACATTTCAAGCAGTGCAATGGCGTGTTCCTCTCCCCCAGGACAGGCCCAGGGTACCTCTCTTACCAGTACCAGGCTGGTAAAGTACTGGGCTCCTCCATTTCTGGAACAGGAAGAGGTGTAATAGCTGCTTTCGTTAAGTGTATGTATGTCTGCTTTTTCTTCAGCAGCCTTATAGTTTGAAGATAAATAGACAAAGTTGAACCCTCTGTGACAAAAAAGGCAAACCTTTGTGATAAACAAGTTTTGGGGAGTTGAGTGTTTCATGTGCTGGTCAAGATCTTTGGGAAGCTGTAAAGTGCTTGAGGTCTGGGACTGTACCTGATTTGCATCTGTTGCAACAAATTCCTGGTCCTCAATTAACTTTCCTTGGCTTTCTTGGACCTCTTATTCCCTATAATATTGAGGGCTTGAAGTTGACTAGACGTTGGCATTGACTTGGTATATAGCCGTTGGCTCATATTTGAATTTTGACCCTCAAAGGAGGGTACCTTTCAGGTAAGGAACCTTGCAATAAGAGATTGGTCGTTTTTGATAAAGCCCCCCTTAAACAGTTGACTGACTTCTGGGAAAATCACCTAGGTAATAATAGAAAATAAAAATGTGGTAATTAAAAATACATTTTTATAAGGTTCCCAGGAAGACCATTGGGATGGGAAGAAAGAAACATCCAAAATGCAATGCTTTAAACTAGAAAATTGTTTCTGGAAATTTTAGCAGAAAAAGTTAGCCGATTGCTTTTTCCTATTGAATCTTAAAGCAAGTTTTTATTTCCTTTGAAGCAATAATTATAAATGGAAGCATAATAAAATATAGTAACAATCTTGAAATGTCTGAAATTTTAAAATTTGATGGTTTATCTTTAGGTTACTCATTAATTATAAAAATATCAAGCAGAAACTTAAAATACTTTAAGCAAGCTAATTATCGTATAATGATGGACATATACTCCAGCTCTATCTGGGAATACTCATTGATGGAATTTTGTGAGAACAGGGAACATTACAGATTTCCTCAAAAAAAAAAAAAATAGCCTGAGACTTCTTGTTTGTGTATATGAGATAGGGAACCGTGTTGGAATTTAAAACATCAATGATTATAGCTGCCTTCTTTTCCCGTGTTTAAATTTTAGTTTTTCTTTTATTAGTCTGCAAAATATAGTGAAGCTTGGCAAAGTAAAGAGGAGCTGGAAAATACAAAAACGTTTTTATCTTTGACTGCTGCGTCTGAAGAAACTGTTGGTGAGTAGAAAGAGATGTCATTCAATGTTGTTTTTATCTGAGTCATAGAATATTTAGATTAAAGTCAAATTCCAAATTCATTTTTTCTGTCCTGTTCTTTATGAGTTTGTTCTTTAGGGAAATAATTGATCATATTAGGTAGGATTATATGAAACGACTCCAAGTTTACGTATATTTCAGTGTCTTTAAGTGTTTGTGTCTGCTTGACGGTGAGGGGGATAGGGCTGGGACAAACTGGGAAATTGACAAAAGTATGTCATTGCCTTCACTTCCTGTCTCTTTTAAGTGTCTCTAGACCCCACTTTCTGTGTACAATCCCCTAACTGCTTACTATCCTCTCACAGGGTGTCACTCAGACCTGCGGAACTCCTTTTGTTAAAATCCATGACTGATTTGTCCTATTTCCTGGTCTCTCACAGTTTTATTTTTCGACATGAGCCAATTCCACACATTTATTTCTACCTTTCTCCTTTGTTTGTATGTATATTTCTGAATCTTCTTTTTTGAATACAGACATTTTATGGAGTTATGTAACCTTTAAGGCACTTACATAATGGTGAAAATTTTAGCGATTAGAAACACTTCCTATTTTTGCATATCCTAGTTGAAACATCAAAAATTTGTCTGGCCTATATTAAATTCATAGATCATTTACTTTTTGCATCTTGTCTTTTACAAAAGTAACACATGTACTGTATGTTAGAAAATATTGGTTAAACAAAAAAAATTACTATCAGCTACATTCTCAACTTGTAGAGATAACTACTATTAATCTTTTAGTTTACTCTTTATCTTTTGAGACATGTTTAATACAAATATCCATGTATATATTTTGAGAATAAAACTATGATCAAATTTATATGTATATGGTATTTTGTAAGCTTTTCCCCACTAATTTGTATTTCGTGAGCCCCTTTCACTGTCAATAATAGATGTGTGTGGTAGTTTGTTTCTGAATGGCTGCCATTAGCTCCTTTGCTTTATGTATGTCCATTCTCATCCTCACTTAGGGATGGAGTCCATTTCTCACTCCCTTTTCAGTCTTGGCTAGCCTGAAACAACTTTGATTGATATATTACAGCAGAAGTGATACTATGCCATTTCTGGGCCTTGTCTTTAAGAAAACAGGCAGCTTCTGCTTTCTGTTAAAATGCTCACTTAGAGGAACGCCAGCCATTGTGTAAGAGGTCAGGCCACCCAAAGCTGCCCTGCTGTGAGAAAGCCCAGGCAAGCAATATGGAGGGGCTGTGCAGAGAGAAGATAATGCTGGCTAGCTCCCGGCTGCAGTGATGCTGGTGATGTCTCTCCAATTCATGTCCACTTGGAACCTCAGAATGTGTCTTTATTTGGAAATAGGGTCTTTGCAGAGATTTAGTTAAGATAAAGTCTTATTGGAATAGGGTGGGCCTTAAAAAAAGAGGAGAGGACACAAAGAGATATAGAGACACAGGAAGAAGGCTGTGTGAAGACAGAGGGATGTAACTATAAGCCAAGGAATGAAAGGATTGCTGGAAGCCAGAAAAAGCTAGGAAGGCAAAGGACACCTTGATTTCAGATATCTAGCTTCTAGAACTGTAGAGAATAAATTTCAGTTGTTTTCAGCCACCCAGCCTGTGGTAAATTGTTATAGCAGCCCTAGGAAACCGATACATTGACTAGTCAACAGTTTCAATGCAGACAGAGAATAAAGCAGTAAGCTTGGACATTTCAGCTCCACCAAACAATGCAGAGAATAACCAGGGCTAGACATATGGACCCCTGACCTACTCCAAGCATCTCCAGCCAAAGGGAGCTACCCAGCCATCTGAGGCCCCATTCATGGTGGAGCAGAGATAAATTGTTCCTGCTGTGTCCCTCAAATTCCTGACCCACAGAAGCATGACCATAATAAAATGTTCACTGTTTTATGCCACTAACTTAAAAAATTTGTTTATTGTGAATTGACTATTTATGGGGTACAAAGTGATATTATGATTTATGAATGCAATATAGAATAATTAAATCAAGCTAATTAGCCTATCCATCACCTCAAATACTTAACATCTTTTATGGTTAGACCATTTGAAATCTAGTCTCTTCGCAATTTTGAAATGCACAATACATCATTATTGATGATATTCACTACACCATGCAGTAGATCTCAGAGAAAAGCCCTTATTTCTCCTGTCTAACTGAGACTTTGTACTCTTTGGCCATTATTTCCTCATTTCCCATCCTTCAGCCTCTGGTAACCACCATTCTACTCTGCTTCTATGAGTACAGTTGTTTTGGATTCCACATACAAATGGGAACATGCAGTATTTGTCTTTTGCATCTGGTTTATTTTGCTTGGCATAATGTCCTCTGTTTCTATTCATGTTGTTGCAAATGATAGAATTTCCTTGTTTTTAAAGACTGAAATGTATTCCATGGTGTATATACACTACATTTTCTTTATCCGTTCATCTGTTGATGGATGCTTAAGTTATTCTGTAACTTGGCTATTGTGAGTAGTGCTGCAGTGAGCATGGGAGAGCAGACATCTCTTTGACAAACTAATTTCAAAGCTTTTGGGTAAATGCCCAGAAGTGGAATCTCTGGATCATATGGTAATTCTCTTTTTAGTTTTTTGAGGATCCTCCATATACTTTTCCATAATGGCTGTACTAATTTACATTCCCACCAACAGAATGCAGGGGTTTCCTTCAATCCACATCCTCACCAGCACTTTCTCTTTCGTGTTTTTGATGATAGCCATTCTAACAGGTGTGAGATGAGATGATATTTCATTGTGGTTAATTTATATTTCCTGAATGATTAGTGAGGTTGAACATTTTCTGTGTATTTGTTGTATGTCATTAAGTTTTATTTTTTACTTTTTATTTTGAAATAATGTTAAATTTACAGAAAATGCACATAAGTAGTACAGATTTACATTTTCCCTTCCCCCCACAGCCTCTCCTAATCTTACATAACCATAGTGATCAAAACTCAGACATTGACATTGGTATAATACCATTAATTAAAGTACAGACTTTCTTAAAAATGTACCAGTTTTCCCACTAATGTTCTTTTTATATACTAGTATCCAATCCAAGATTCCATATTACATTTAGTTGTCATGTCTCCTTAATCTCCTCCACTCTGTGATAGTTTCTCAGTCTTTCTGTGTCTGTCACGATGTTGACCCTTTTGGAGAGTATTGGTCAGCTATTTTGTAAAATATCCTTCAATTTTGGTTTGTGTGATGTCTTCTCATGATTAGATGAAAGTTATGAATTTTGACAAGCATACTCTGGAAGCTATGCGCCCTTCTCAGTCACACTTGGTGTACCTAATGCTGTTATATATTATTACTAGTAATGTTTCATCTTGATCACTTTGTTAAGATGGTGTCTGCTGGTTTTCTTCAGCAGACACCATCTTAGTAAAGTTACTTCTGTAAAGTTACTATTTTTTTCTTTTACGATTAATACGTATCTTGGGAGAGATACTTTAAGATTATGCAAATAGCCTGTTTCTTCTCCAGCTTTCACCTACTAATTTCAGCATCGATCTTGCCTGCAGTAGTTAGAACTGTGTGCCACTAGATTTGGGGTGATTCTAAAATGCAACAACAAATAACTGGAACAACGTGCATCAGCATTATTTTTAAGGATTATATATTAATTTATTAGATGGATGTGCCATCATTTGTTTTTAACTAATACCCTTTTATTGAACATTTAGGTTATTCCCTTAGTTTTTCAGTTTTTAAAATTATACATAATGTTGCAATGACATCTTTAGTCAGTGATTGCAATGATTACCTCCTGTGGCAGACTGAAAAAAATCCCACCCTCAAGAGATATGTGTCAAATCCCTAGAGCTTGCGAATATTAACTTGTTTAGAAAAAGGGTCTTTGCAGATGTGGTTAAGTCCTGGAATATCGAGATGGGCTGTAAATTCCATGATAGTAGCCTTATCAGAAAGAGATGGAGGGAGAAGAGGTAGATCGGGAAGAGGAAAAGGTGCTGCAAAGATGAAGGTAGAGATTGGAGTGATGCAGCCTCAAGCCTGCTGCAACTACCAGAAGCTGGAGGAGGGAGGAACAGAATCTCCTCTAGAACCGGAGGGAACTTGGCCCTGCTGACACCTTGATTCTGGTTTTCTGGCCTCCAGAACTGTGAGAGAACTTCTGTTGTTTGAAGCCACCAAGTTTGTGGTAATTTGCTAGGGCAGCTGTAGAAAATGGGTATCCTTTGAATACATTCCTATAAGACAAATACTTAGTCCAGGGTTGGAGTTTCAAAAGATTTTTATTCACACTGACTTATTGAAATCAATTTATACTCTTGCCCACATTGTATCTGAATATTGTTTTTCTATACCAACAAGAATGGATTTTTAAATGATTTAAAGCTTTATTTAAAGTGGAATCACAATAAACTGTATTTCTCTGATTTTTAGGGAAGTTATAGATTTATTCTTTTGTTTAGTCAGGTTGTGAGTTACCTATTCATGTCTTAGGCTCTTTTTATAAAGTGAGATATTCTTTATTGATTTGAAAGACATTTAAAAAAAATATTAAGGATATTAATTCTTTGACTGTCACAAATACCAAAAGCATTTTTCTTTCTTTCTTTTTTTTTTCTTAGAGACAGAGTCTTACTTTGTTACCCAGGTTGGAGTGCAGTGGCAAGATCTCAGCTCACTGCAACCTCCACATCCCAGATTCAAGTGATTCTTCTGCCACAGCCTCCTGAGTAGCTGGGATTACAGGCGCATGCTATCATGCCCAGCTAATTTTTGTATTTTTAGTAGAGCCAGCGTTTCACCATCTTGACCAAGCTGGTCTTGAACTCCTGACCTCATGATCCACCTGCCTCGGCCTCCCAAAGTGCTGGGATTACAGGCGTGAGCCACCATGCCTGGCCTCAAAAGCATTTTTCTAACTTACTTTTTCTTTAATTTTGTGGTATTTCTTGTTCTAATTAAATTAGTTATTTCTTTTGTTATCATTTATTGGTATTCTGCTTTA